TTTTTTTTTTTTTTTCCAACGATAGAAAAACTCCACTAAAACCGGCAACCGCCAAAAATACAAAGTACCAATATAAACCGCAACAAGCCAACCAAGGCTAAAACACACTGAGAGGCACATCCCAAGATGGCCTAAACCACACAACCCAACACCACTCGGGCAAGCACTAAGGCTAGAAATCCCCAGCTGCTAACAAAACCACACAACTACAAAACACACACAAAAACAGCACCCTAAAGAAACAAGCAACAAGACAACAACAACAAAAACAAAGACAACCTACCACCTACACCAAAGCACTAGGACTACTAAACAGAAGAGAGAAATTCTTGCCACTCCAACCAAGCTTGCCTCACTACCACTGCAACAGGTTGTCTTTTGCCTTCAAACAGCCACAAATTGCGAGTGCGCCAGAGCCACCATAGAATATAAGTCGTGAGTTGAATGCGGGCCTCGGACGTCCCTGAATTATTAATAGAGCAAACTTGCCACCACCATTGTCTAAAATTAATTGTATATTATATTATTAAATACTGAATTAAATAGAAAAAAAAAATACAAAAAAGGCACCAATTACCCCCATTCAATGGAATGAATGAATGAATGAATGAGGAGCGACCCACGTCGACTTGATGCATTGCATTCGATTTATTGTCCCCCTCCATTTAAATGGGCCAATAAAATGACAGATGCGATGTCCTTAAAATGTATAAATCCTTCCCTTCCATTTCAACTGAAGCCATATATGAATCAACTATTTATGAGAATCTCATATTTCCTAAAACTAAATAAAAAAATTCAACTGTTAATGCACATGTATTGTTTTACTGTAAGGAAATTAAACTCAAGATTCCATCTAAACCCACCAAAACGGAAGCAAATAGCCAACCGGTAACACACATTAATAACAGAATCTCATCTCATCAGTTTCGATCACATTTAATATTATAATACAAATCCAAACGGTTCCTTGTGAGGCCTCTGCTCTGCTAACATAAATTTTCACACACCATTTTTGTCAGATGCCTGTGATTAAAATGCTCGTTCGAACCGAACCGAGCCGAGCCGAGATAAAAACCGGCCACAGCGCGGGTGTCTTGAAGTTACCCGACACCTCCGATTTTCCACATTTTTATTAAAATAAAAAGTAAAAATCTATCGAGTTACGCCTCGGCTATTTTCGACACCAAAGCCGCCCTTAGCCGATCCTGAGTGTACAGCCTCCCTTCCATCTTCACAGTCGCCTGCTGGATCATCAGCTCGTTGACAACTGAGACACTCGCGTGGTGCACGTCGAGCTCCAGCTCCCTCAGCGCCGCCATCAGCCTCGCAGCCGGGTGGTTCCTCTTCCCACACTGCACCCGAACCATCGCATCCCGACCAATGATCCTCACGTCCACATCCGCGTGGGCCCCACCGCCACCCCCACCTGCCCCATGTGGAGCCTCCTTCCCGGCGAGCGACTCGAGCCGGCACCTCAGCTCGTCCCTTTCCGACTCGGCCATCCGCACCTGGGACCGCAGCTCCTCGATGTAGGCTATGGCGTCTCCAAGGAGGGAAGCCTTGTCCATCTTGGACACGTTGGGGACAACGGCACGGAGGGCGTAGAATTTCTGGTTCAGTTTCTCCCTCCTCTGCCGCTCGGCCTCCACGTGGTTCAGAGGCTCCTCTCGACCGTTGGCGGGCTTCCGGCCCCGCTTTCTAGGCCGGTGAGGCTGCTGTTCAACCTGATGTTTGTCGGCTCGGCTGGTGCTGTCGGCGGCCTCCTTGACCTCGAGGTCCGAGTGCTCAGACTCGGTGGTGGCTGCTGTCTTTAGGCTCGGGATGTTGTTGATCACGGCAGACGAGGCGAACGAGAGCATGCCTTCGTCATTGCTTGTGGGGGAGCGGGTTTTCTTGTTTCGGCTGCGGGTGTCGTCTTGTTGCTCGAACGGGTCCTTGTCGGTGTTTTGCCCAAAATCCAATATCTCGGTTTTGCAGTTGTCGTTTTTCATGCTGCTACGGTTGCTGCTGCTGCATCCTATATAGGGCGGCTCGAACTCGGAGAAGTTCAATTCCTTAGTCGGGAATTCGTGCGACATTTCGAATAAGCTGGTAGTGAAATTGGTAGTAGGAACTGAATTAGTATTGTTGTTGGTCAAGGAGTCCTTGTGGATGCCAGAGGAAGAGGGCTCCGTCAGCCAGAGGGCGGTGGGGTCACTTTGGGCCAAGGGTAACGAGCCCGAATCAGGGCTTGAACCCATTAGCGGCCCGTTGAAATTGAACAGGACTCTGACTTTGTTCATCAGATCCGCACTCTGGAGAATCAAATCGGTGGAGCCAAGCTCGACGACGCCGTTGGGGGAAGGTAAGCAGACGATGGTCTGAAGCCCGTAACCCTGTGCCTGGCGGGCCCGCTCGCAGTGGGAGGCAGCGAGCCTCTCCGCCCCGGCGATCCAAACAGGGGAGGAGGAGCAGAGGGCCTGGCCTGGAAGACCCGACCCGCTCACGAACGACTGCGTCATGGATATGAGGAAGAACCACTCGGTGTCTGTGACCTCCTCGTCGACGGAGTCATCAGATCCGGCGGCGGGCTGAGAGCCGGAGACCAGGGAATTCAACTCCCGGAGCACCTGCTTCCTGTGCTCCTGCTCGGAGGGGGACGACACCCTTCTACGGACGGATCTATTCTCCTCGCCCTTGTAGTAGCCGTCGCCCCATCCCAACAGCGCGGGCCCGCCGTAGTCAGCGACCGAGGACTGCCAAAAGATGGCGTAGGTCCAGGTCTCGCGGGCGCCCTCGATCAACGCGAGGAGGCGCCGCTGGAGGGTTTCCTGGCTGAGAAATGTCGGCTGCGTCTGGTGGTGGTCTCCGGCGGCGGAGGAGGAGGGCCAGAGGGAGGCCAGATCGGAAGCGGACGACGCCATGAAGGCGTCGGCCATGGAAGTTCCGACATCCGTCGCGGCAGGAACGGCGGACGGCCAGATATAGTTCATGTTCACAGGAGGATGTGAGGACGTGGGAAGACGATAATCTATTATCATAGCAGAGAAGAAATAGGAAGCTTATCCTGATTCTGGAGGAGAGAGAAAATGTGGACGGCGTGCGGCCACAGGGGAAGGAGATGAGAGAGAGAGAGAATGAGAAACGTGTGTGTATATGTTTGTTATTATTATATTGTTGTGTTGGTCTGGTGTGAAGGGCGTGTTTGGTGGTATATATATATTTTTTGAGTGGAAAAAAGAGTGAGGCAAAAAGGCGGCTTCCAGGAACGAGTGAACCAAAACGAAGCACGCGTCGTCGGATAGATTTTACCACTCTACTCGGCTTCACTGTCATTTCACCGCAGTAATTTACGGCTCCGTTAACTAGCACGTAACCCCGTGCGATGCAGGGACTGTATATCTTTGACTGTATATCTTTTAGGGTATAATATAAATTGAAGTGTATTAATAAATAAAAAGTGAAATATTATAAATTGAAGTGTATTAATATATAAAAGAGTGATAATACATAGGGAAATTGTCAAATCAAAAAAATGTTCCTAAAAAAGATAATATATTATTAAAAACTTCATTTTACACAACATTTATGATTACTAGGCAACTCGATGTTTTTCGAACTAATATTTTCAAAACTTTTCTGTTACTTACACACGAAACAACAACATATATTTGATCATGACTGAAAACGAAATATTTCTTATCATCATGCATACAAAACTATAAGTAGGATCTTGTGTCGCTGAACTTAAATGGAAACGTAAAATCGGAAGGATTCATTTATCATATGATATTTTATATGGCAGTTTGAAAAATGCTATTAATTTATCACTTTAATATCGATTATACTTGATTAGCTAAATAATATGTACTAATATTTTTATATTTTTTTTTTAATTATATAAAAGAATATTAAACATGTATGCTTAAAATACTAAGAATATATAAAATATTATATTACATATGTAAGATTATCTAAAAATATTAGATGTGAGGTCGCCTGAAGTTTTTCTAAATTATTTTGTAGGTAAAATATGTTTAAATACACTTAAGTTCAATATATATATATATCTCAAATAAATTAACCTTATTCTTATTTTATATATATAGATTATTATTATTATTATTATTATTATTATTATTATTATTATTATTATTATTATTATTATTATTATTATTTTGTAAATATTATTTTGTAACTCTACTATTCATTTATTTAAATAGTACTATCTTCTTACATAGGACGGAGAAATTTAAAAGCATCTTCTTTTTGCTATAAGAAAAAAAAAAAAAAAAATGACAAGTCCCATATTTATCAACATAACACTAATTCATACTTCAATGTACACAAATTACCATCCTCAAGATTTAAGCATGAAGCTGAGCATCTTATACTAATTATGCTCCTAAAAGATGCATGTGGCGGCCCAAGACAAAAAATCAACCAAATTTCGTAAGCCCCTTTCTAATATAAATAAGATTTTCTGACAATTTCACTTGCACGTTTACTCCCTAAATCAATATTCGTTTTTACTTTATTAAAATTTTTGTTGTGCTTGATGTCGCGCCCTGGCAATGTCGAGGGATTAATGAAGAAGCCAGAGTGCGCATGCGGAGGCTGAGCTGGCCTATGACCTGGACCCCACTCCGGAGAATAGGACTGCGATGCGCCGCTGCCATGCTGAGTACCAGCTCCGACTCCTTATGGAGGAGGATTTCTGGAAGCAGAAGGCGGCCGTTCGCTGGGTGGCCGAGGGCGAGCGGAATACTAGGTTCTTCCAGGGTTTCGTTAGGCAGAAGCGTACTAAGTCGCACATCCACAGTATTGAGGCTGATGGGTCATTCCTGACCCAAGAGTCTCAGATTCGGGAGTCGGCTACTGCCCACTTCCAGACCCTTTTCACATCCGATAGAGGGGCTCTCGATGCTCCGATCACTTCTTTCTTTCCCACCATTCCTCCTTCGGTCGACCTCGTCGGCCTCTGTGAGCTCCCGAGTAGGGAGGAGGTTAGGGATGCTGTTTTCGGGATTGATCCCAACAGCGTTTCTGGCCCCGATGGGTTCTCTTCTCCCTTCTATCAGGTCTGTTGGGATATTGTCGAGCCTGATGTTGAGGAGGCTATGTTGGATTTCTTCTCCGGTCACCAGATGCCGGATTCCTTCACATCTACCTCTGTCGTCTTGATTCCCAAAAGACCCAATCCTAGTTCTTGGTCCGACTACAGGCCCATCAGCCTGTGTAACGTGACCAATAAGCTCATTTCGAAGATTCTTAACGGTCGCCTTTCCCCTCTTCTCCCCTCCCTCATCTCTCCG